ACAATGTTGAAGATTGAGACCAGGGCCTCGTGTATATTAGGTAAGTACATCCTGAGCTACATCCCCAGCCCAATATGATTTAATTTTTGTGTTGAATATGCAACACAGTGTTGATAAATATAATTCACACAAACTAAAGCCCTTTAAGCATGCCTAATCATCTGTAAATGTAGAAAATGACCCTGAGATGGAACATTCCAGAACGTTGCAGCACAAGGTCTATCTTGACAACCACATTACCCACAGAAAGGGGGCAGTGCCACCTGCTTCCTCCATGACCGACCTGCAGGGTGTGTCCAGATTTTCAGGATTCCTTGTAAATCCAAAGTGAAACGTGACATAAGTGGAAACTACAGAAATCAAAAGTTGGTGTGAGACACCGTGATTGGGATCCGTCAAGCTGTAAAACTGTCACAAGTGTGAACAAATGAAAATGAAAGATGTGGGTATGAAATACACGCATGACTCTATACATGTCAGGTATTTCCACAGAGGATGTCACCAACAGGACAAAACTCTTTCCTTACCATGACAGAAACCGAAAGGAACAATTTAGAATCTGTTAAGCAATGTGCCAGAGAATTTTCATTACTTTTGAAAATAATACTACTAAAAAATAAGGTTTGGTCTTGGTGCCAGCACCTTTTCTGGTTAAGTCCAGCACACCCACCACGCCTTGACTCCCCCAGCCTTTCACCCTCCCAGCTCTGCCCCCCAACCACTCTCTCCTCCTAGCCTGGGTACAGGCCCATTTCTTGTCTTGGCCCCCCAGACACCGGGGCTAACCTCTCCGCCCAGAGCCACCACTGCTTTCTGATCCTTTGCATCCAGGCCAACCCAGTCCCTCCTTGTGGTCTCCAGGAGCCCTCTGAGCCTGGTCCTGGCCTCACCTCTCTTTGTTTCCCTGGGCTGCACATCCTCTAGTGTCCTGATGCCAGCCCTTTCCTAGACCCCAGGAGCCCTCTGGACCAGGTCCCACCCTCACCTTCCTTTGCTTCCTGGGCTGCACAGCCTCCAGCATCCTGGTGCCAGCACCTTTCCTGGGTAAGTCCAGCAGTGCCCACCACACCTTGACTCCCCCAGCCTTATTCACCCTCCCATCTGCCCTCTTAGCCTGGGTACTGACCCATTTCTTGTTTTGGAACTGCAGACTCCTGCACTGACCTCTAGGCCCAGAATCCCCACTGCTTCCTGATCCTTTGCAGCCAGACCAATCCAGTTCCTCCCAGTAGTCCCCAGGAGCCCTTGGGGCTTCTTCCTGCCCCACCTCCCTTTGCATCCCTGGGTGGCATAGCCACCAAATTCCTGAGACCAGCATCTTTCCTGGGCCCTGCTCCCAGGCCAGCCCAGCCTCCAAATTCCTGAGGGCAGGAATTTCCTGGAGGGATCCTGACCTTAGGAGAAAGCCTGAGAGCATCTGAGCCTCATCTGACTTGGGCCTCTGTGGGAACTCCAGAAGACAAAAGCAATTAGGCCACTCCAATATAAAATCAAAAGAGAGAATCTGAAGCCTAGACCAACCAGCTTTTCATGCCCAACAAGTAAACCACAAAGGCATATACAGTTTACAAAAAGAGGCAGACCTAAACTCATCAAAGGAAGGCTTGAGTCTCACACAAGGATAAAAATCTACAAAAGAAATTCACATGTCAAAGTCACAGAGAAAAAAATAACATGAAAAAACAAAATAATATATTCCCCACCAAGTACCAATAGTCCTCTAGAGGAGTACAATGAGAACCCACTAGAGATAATGCAGGACATGGAACTCAAAAGAACAATTATGTGATAAAAGAACTCAGTGAATTCAAAGAACACACAAACAAATAAATCGAAGAACTGAAGGAAGATAGGGATAAACTTATGAATGAATTCATAAAAGAGTTAGAAATACTGACGAATGCTCGGGCCGAAATGAAGAAGGAAGTGAAACACTCAGTAAGCCAATTAGAAACGACAGGAGAAAGCCTCACCAATAGGATGAATGAAATGGAAAACAGAATATCAAGACTGGAAGATAAGCTCGATGAATTAGACCACTCAAGCAAAGATTATGAAAAATTTAAGAAAAAAATAAGGTTTAAAAAAACAACAGAAAAATGTTACAAACAAGCCACGTGTGGTGGTGCTTGCCTTTACTCTCGGCACTTGGGAGGAAGAGGCAGGTGGATCTCTGTGAGATAGAGGCCAGCCTGGTCTACATAGTGAGTTCCAGGCCAGCTGGGACTACAGGGGAGAACCTGACTTAAAAAAAGAAAAGTTGCAAACTTTTGAGTGTGTGTGTGTGTGTGTGTGTGTGTGTGTGTCTGTGTCTGTGTAGGTCAGATCCTCCTGCCTCCTGAGAGGTGGGACTCTAGGTGCATACCAGCATGTCTGATGACTTTTTTTTAAAGACATAGTGTTGCTATGTATCCCTAGTTGTCCTGGAACTTGCTTCCCAGGTTCTAGGAATCTAGGCACATGTCACCACACCCAGCTGACATTAAAACAATTTTTAAAATTTTATTTTTTTCTTATGTGTATGAAATGTTTTTCCTGCATGTAATTAAGTACACAATGTGTGTGCAATGCCTGTATAGGCCAGAAGAGGGTCCCTGGAACTAGAGTTACGGATGATTGTTAGTGACCATGTGGGTGCTAGGAACTGAACCCAGGTCCTCTGCAAGAGCAACCAGTGCTCTTAACCACTGAACCATCTCTCCAACTCCAGCTAACATTTTATCTTGAAGACAGTTCGGCTAGACAGATTGCTGCAATGGTTTGAAAGTAAACAGGGCCGGACTGCCTGTTGGCTTGAACCTTCCACAATCCTGAAAACTCTCACTCTTAAATGTTTTATTTTCTGTGAGTTGCCTACATGTATCATTTGTCCATTTTTCCTATATATATTTTTTCTGGAACTCCCTATGTCTGGGTGCAAACCTTTCATCAATTACATATTGCAAATATCCTGCTCAAGCACGTGGCCCCCTTTTAATCGTGTTTGGGTATCTCATTGTAGCTCAAAAACTTATTTGCAAAATATATTCTAATCTATTAATCACTTCCTTTATGGTCTGGGAAATACTTGTCCTGTGTAGAAGCTTTTCCACATTTTAAAAATGATTTTAAAAATGTTCTCCCGAGGTAGACAAGATGGCTCAGTGGGTAAAGGTATTTGTGGCCCACCAACCATTTAAGACCCGAGTTTAATTCCTAGAAACCACATGGTAGAGGAAAAAAAACTATTCTTGAAAGTTGTCCTTTGACCTCCACATATGCACTATGGCGCACACACACGCACACACGCACACACACACACATGCACATACACATACACTCATAAATGAATGTAATTTAAAAACTAAAAAAGATTAAGATAGAAAACCCAGTTGGAGAGTTGGCTCAGCAGTTAATAGCACTGGCTGCTCTTGCAGAGGACCTGGGATGGAATCCTAGTACCCACATAGAGACTAACAATCATCCCTAACTCCGGTTCCAGGGGATCTGATGCCCTCTTCTGACCTCATCAGGCTTCGCATGACACGGGTACATTTACATACATGCAGGCAATACATTCATATTCATTTAAAAAAACCTTTAAAAACGTTCTCCATTTGTTTTTGATATACTAGCAGTCTTCCTTCCTTCCTTCCTTCCTTCCTTCCTTCCTTCTCTCCTTCCCTCCTTCCCTCCCTCCCCTCCTTTCCTTTCCTTTCTTTCTTTGATAGCATCTCACCAGATACCATAGGCTGGCCTTGAACTTGTGATTCTCTTGCTTCAGCCTCCAAAGTGTTGAGATTGTAGACATGTACCACTCAGTCTTTCTGCCCCTCCTATCCTTTTTTCATTCCCCTTCTCCCTTTTAAACATGTATACCTTGAATTCATCTAGGCTTTGGCTATGTGGGAAGACATTGCAAGTTGATCCTTGTGGGGCACAAAGCAAAGAAATGGGCTTGTACCCGCTCTTCTGGGGACCCACAGGCCCACACAGGTGCATGGACTAAGTTGGCATAAATCTGGTTTGGAAAAGAAGGAAGACTGCATTTCAGAAGTCTGTGAGCAGAGTTGACAATGTTTTCAAGAAAACAGTATCCCTTTCTGCCATATGGCTTCCAGGCAGCCTTCACCAGCCCATGTGTGGGCCGGGAAGCTCTCATGATGGTTCCCATTTGAAGCCACTACAGTTAATGCGGTTGAGCAGTTATGACCCATTCTATCAGCACAGGAAACCATGGAACAGAAAAGTTGAGTGGCACATGTTTGGCAGGTAACAGAGCCCAGACCTCCTGCCTCCAAGTCATCCTTTGCTCCTCAGACCTCTCTAAATTTATCTCTGTCCTCAGACTACTGCAGCTGACCCCATGGTGGGAAGGAGGGTCTGGCCTAAGCAGTCTCCAAATCTGTTTCCCTATGGTGGAAGGAGAACCTGGAAATTATCCCTGCCATCCGCTGACTGTGTTTCCAGAACCAGTGTTTCTTTCCCAGAGCACCTCCTACTCCCCTGAGCAGGGATGAGTCAGGCCAGGAAGACGGAATTCAGGCATAAACAAGTGGGACTGACAGTCAGCACTTTGCCTGAGGCGCATGACCTCCCAGGACTGTACCTGAATGGCTATAGCATCAAAATTGCACCAGGTATGTAGGCTTTGCAGGCTTAATCTCCTGCAGGCCCTACGCTTAATCTATGTAAGCAGGCCCTCCGGTGGAAGCCTCCAGGCAGGAGGTGGGCACCATGGGAAGGCAGATGTCGGCTAGCCTCTCAGCAAAGGGTGGTTCAATGAGTGGGACATTTTTAAGGAAGGCCAAAGCACCTATGGCTGCCTCTGCTTCCCTCCAGCTCAACACCAAAAGGACACAGGGATGCAGAGTCATAGAACCAAAACTGGCCTTAGAGACAGGTATGTGCCAATCCCCCAGACAGGAACCCATCCTAGTGCACAGAACACAGATCTTAGTCCCCACCTCTGGGTCTAGACCTGCACTTGTTTAGAATCTCAGGGAACTAGGGCCACCTACCTGCTCCAGGGGGATGACGAGGAAGGAACCTCCTCCTGCACTCTCAGTGACAATGGCCAGGAAGCGTGCATTGACAGCACAGAAGTGGTTGTCATGTACATTCTTGGTGATGGGAATCCCATCGAAGCAGTGCTCCCGGTTGGCCACCTTTCCGTATACATTCCGGAACTTGGAGCTGCGGTACTGCGGACGCCAGGACATCTACAAGGGACCAAGAGAGACAGGGTCAGGCTGAGCACTGCTTAATGAAGGGCCTGGGCTGGGCACTGGGGAGTCAGGGATGCAGGGGCAGGTGATCCCCGAGGCCCACACTGTGTCAGCTACATGCTGAGAAGGTCTGACAGGAGCACAGGCTGGCATGAGGGTGTTTACATTTCCTGTTGATGCTCCATTGCCCAGCTCACCTTCTAGAAGGAGTGTACGGTCTTCTCACCACCAAAGAACACAGCAGGTGATACAGTAGCCAGCCACATGTGATATGTCCTGAGCGTCCACATCTACTCAGCTTAGTCTAGAAGGTGCAGGCCAAGGAGGCCGGGACAGTGCCAAGGGGAAGAATGGGGTCATTCCTCTATGCATGAGGAGGTAAGCCACCATACTTCATCATCACCTCCTCTGAGTCTTTCTAGAATTTTTCACTCCATAAGCAACACCCTCAAAAATCTCTTAGTTCTATGCATCATCATTATGGCTGCCATCACCATCATCATCGTCATCAGGCACAGGTGAAGTGAGTTGTCCAAGCTAAGTGTTGACCCTTGTGAGTTTGGAGTGAAGTCCTCAGAGTGTGATCCCAGGACCACTTTTATCAAAATCCCCTCAGGTGGAGGAGGTTTCTGGGCTTCCCATGGACTTCTTGACAATTCACTTCCGGGATCCCAGTCTGGATCTATGGAACCAAGTGCACTTGGCATGCTGACCCAGTTTCCGTGCATACCTCCAGCTGATACAGAAGCACTCTGCTTTGAAAAGAGTTCCTGTTCTGAAGGGTAGAGTAGGGCCTCCTCAACTCATCCTGCCCACCATCCACTGTGCAGGGTTCCACAGCAAAGCCTACTTGCAATGTAAGCAGAGGGCCCTGTGGGACAGTGCCTCCTCCTGCAGGGAAGCCTCACTATAGTGCCACCCAGGAGTGAGCCCGGCCAGGACTACACACAGCAAAGGCTCGGTGAGGGCTCTGTGCAGTGGGCACACACACCTGACATTTGGGAAGCTCTGTACTTGATCTTAGCCAGGGTCTCATATAGCCCAGGTCAGCCTTAAACTCTAGATAGCCAAATATGACTTTAAACTTTTGATCCTCCTGCCTTTATACTGCCCTTGATCTCCTGCATGCTGGGATTAAAGGTAGGCACCACCATACCCAGTTTACACAGAGCTGGGGATTGAATCCACAGCTTTGTGTATGAGGCCAGCACTCTACCAACTGAACTACATCCCCAGGACTACAGGCGCTACCTGCATCCATCTCCTCCCAGTAGGCTGGACTGGAGTCTCCTTCCCCATTTCAGGACAAAAAGAGGCAAGTGAAGTTCCCTAGGGGAGAAAATCAAAAGCAAACAACCATCACAGCACTAGGAAACCAACTCTGGAAACTTGACTGAAGATGAAATTTTACATTTGATTTCAATGAAGCCAGGAGCCAGGCCCCAAAGTCCTTCAGAAAAGTGGAGGAAGAAGGCCAGACTTCTCATGGTAAGAGGAGCCCTCTTCTCTGGCTTTCTGTTCCCTCCACTGTTTCTTCTCTACTTCCTAGGTCACCCTCTGTCCAAGCAGGGCCAAGTCCCTCTGTCCCCTCCAGCCCATCCCCCATTTCCCACCTGCCTTCTCTCTCTGTTGTGTTCATTCTGCCTACACTAGTCTGGATAAATTTATGCTGGAGAGAAGAGATTAGTGAGAGCCTAGAGAGTCAACACAGACCTCAAGACCTCAGGCAAACCCTGCCCCTCTGCCACATTCAATGACATCACCAATTCCCAAAGTAGATCCCAGAAGGTCCCTCCACATGGCATAGAAACTAAGGATTTTTCTAGGAGCAAGAGAACAAATGATACCAAATGCTGGGGAGGATGTAGAGAAAAGGGAATGCTCATTCACTGCTGGTGAGATTGAAAACTTGTGCAACCTCTATGGAAAAAAGTGTGGAGAACTCTTAAAAAACTAAAAATGAACCTACCATATGACCTGGTTATACCACTCCTTGGCATATACCCAAAGGACTCATCCTATTGTAGAGATGCTTGTACAACCATGTTTGTTGCTGCTCTTTTCACAATAGCTAAGAGATGGAAGCAACCTAAGTGTTCCTCAACTGACGAGTGGTTGACAAAAATGTGGTATATTTACACAATGGAGTTCTATTCAGTGGTAAAGAAAGATGAAATAATGAAATTTGCAGGTAAATGGATGGATCTAGAAACTGTTATACTAAGTGAAGTAACACAAACTCAGAAAAACAAACGACGTATGTTCTCTCTCATATGTGGATCCTCGTACCAAATCCTTTTAAATTTCATGTCCTTTTAATAAGATGATGCTGTACAGCAGTATCTACTGCATGAAATAACTACCATCATTGCGACGTCATCTGTGTCTGATCAGTAAACATCATCACAATTGGGCTTGTTGATAGTTGTGCTTATTCATTAAAGGAGGGCCAAGCAGGGTTATTGGACCCTCACTGGAGTATCCAGCCACTCTTCCTAGCCAACTGTATGTAATTTGGTCCTAATCACACATGGCTCCCTGTTTGGGAAGGGATAAAGTATACAATCTGGGGAAGACTAGGAAGAGAAGGCAGGACCCATGCTGGGTAAAGGCTTTCCAGTGTGCATACCCTCTTATCATACATATACCTCAGCAACCCCTCAGTTATCTTAAAGTCTTTGAAAGGGAACTGACACTGATTCTAACCACTCCAACAGCTATCAAAATACCTGAAAGCAAATCTTGAATCCATCACTCTAGAGGCCAGCCTTGGAAGACAAAAGAAAAATGCGGAGGAACCCAATAGAGGGATGCTTTTGGAAACTCTCATCAAGAAATCCCAATGGACTCTGACATGAACATTTGAAATGTTCTTTTGTCTGGTTCTCCATCTAGAACTTGCAATGCTAACTACTCTTGCCTTTACATCTCCTTCACATCTCCTATTCACCAATCAGGGACTTTCTTTTCTCCCTACAGATAAGAGTTATGCAATTTTGGAGTCTTTTAGATAGACCCACTAAAGGGGTACCCCAATTGCCTCACTCTGTGTCCCTGTTCAGCACAGAAGAAGCCAGAGTGGTCTGTGTTCTGATTCGCTATCAGCAATTTGGGTAACCCTTCAGAGGATGGTGTGATAAGACTAGGAGGTAGGAATTGGCTAGGCAGTTAGGGTAAAAAAGACCCCAAAGAAATGTAGGCAGTTTCTTGGCTAAAAGTCAAAATGTCCTTGGGCCTCTTAGCAACATACTCTGTTCCAAAGGCCAAAAATGGCAAAAGTATTTGGGAGCTCTTATCTAATCCTTAAAAGATTTTAGGGTTACCGAAAGAAAGAAAGAAAGAAAGAAAGAAAGAAAGAAAGAAAGAAAGAGAGAGAGAGAGAAAGGAAGGAAGGAAGGAAGAGAAAGAAAGAAAGAAAGAAAGAAAGAAAGAAAGAGAAAGAAAAAGAAAATGAAGTCAAAAAAAAGTGATGGGGAGATATTGGAGGTATTGGAGGGGAGAGAGTGGGCGTGGATTTGATCAAAACACCTTGTATGCATGTATGAACTTCTCATCAAAGTTTCTTTAAAAAAAAAAAAAAAGAAAGAAACTAAGGATATTTTGGTTTTTGTTTGGGTTTTGTTTTTTTTTAAGACTCATTGGCCCTGAACTTACCATGTGGCTAAGGGTGACCTTGAACTCCTGCCTCTGCCTCCTGATTGTTGGGATTACAAGCCTGCACCACCAAACCCAGTTAAGAGATGATGTTTTTAATTTTAGTAGTCACGTGTTTATTTTCATTGACATTAGAAAAGAATGTAACACACATCCAGGACCCATGACATCACAGATCCTATTACAAATGAGTGCTAATAGGATTGTTTAAAAAAAAAAAAAAGAGCAAAGACTCAGTTCAAAGAAAAACACAGTACGAAAAGTATACTGTGGGTTTATCACCTGGCCAAAACGCCACCTGAGTGGGGATTATGGAAATCTCTGTTTCTGCCAGGTAGAAGAACATTCTAGATTCCACAGTTCCCACAAGAAAGGTGCTGCACCTGCTTAGCTCAACTCATTACTGGCACTTTTCTGGCCTGACATGCCTTCCTTCTGCTCAGTCAGAGCTCAGCTACAGAGCAGATGTCCTCAGACCACAGAGCCAGCACCTCTCCTAGCTCCTGATGTAGCCCTTGTCCCAGGTTCTCCTCCTGGGGCCAGACTCCTCTGTGGGACAATAGGAAAGGACATCACCACCAAACAGGACAAAATTCCAGCCTGTGTTCTTCTTGCACTGCCCAGCAGGGTTCAGGAGGCAGGGAGCCCTATTAGACCCCTGGCCTGGAGGCAGCCCAGCCCCTCCCATATCGTCAAGGGAGCCCAATCCAGTGGGGGGCAGGCAGCTCAGCCTCTCCCTCAAGTAGCCCAAATCTGGTGGTTGGGGACTTCAAGTTCTCCCTGTAGTACCAGAGTCTCCTATGGCTGGGTGGAGGGATGGTTTGATCATTTCCAGTACAGACCTCACTGAAAAGCCTCTTGAGGGCATCAAGGGAAGACTGGCAAGCCCAGGCCTGGGATCCACATAAACCTAGATTCAAGTCCCACCCTGCTGAAGGATGGCTGTGTGTTTGGGCAAGCCCCTGAACTTCTCTGTGTTGTCTCTGTCTACTCTCATATAGAAAGGAGGAAATTATTCCCTCAACTTCCAAGAACATGGGAGGAGTCAGTGCCAAGCTGTTCAGCTCGTGCCCAGCGCAGAGCATGCTGACATCAGGCTCTCCTGAACGTCCCACATCTACATTTACCCCAGGTATCCTGGGGAGCCCTAGCTGCTCCGTCTCACCTGACATCACCTCCTCTGCCTTCCCTCTTCCTCTCTTTTCTTGCTTTCTACTTTCTCCTGCTCTGCTTTTCTTTCCCTTCTCTCCACTACCCCAGCTCCCAGTCCTCAGGTTCAGTGACAGGCAAGAGGAATATGTGGCAGACTCTTGATGGGTATGCTGACATGCTACTTCCTC